ATGCCTAAATAACAATTTAGGTAACATTGATAATTAGTCATTGTTAATTAGTCACTTGATAACTATTTCAGGTCTTTAGAATTTACACTATTTTAGTCATTTAGTACTTAGGATAACATAGATCACCCTTTTTGCAGTAATAGTTATTATTTCTAGTGATGGTGCATGAAGTTTGCTTTGTTGTGTGATGGTGCTGATTAAGTTTCCAAGTAGATCAAAAGCAAATGTTTCTTTTAGACTCATATTTCCTCTTCATGAAGGATCAGGTGAGGGTTTGCTGCTCTCTGGTACAGAGCCCCAGTTTTTTTTTTTTTTTTTTTTTTTTTGCTACCAGGGATCGAACTTAGGACTTTGTGCTTAGTGAGGCAGGTGCAATGCCACTGATCTACATCCCGGCCCCAGGATAAATTCTTTATATTCCTCATGGAATAAGGAGAAGATGATGACCTGTGTATGGCTCCTCTAACTACTGCTTAGAAGAATACTTACTACTTCCATTCCAATGACCTTGTTCACATAGGCAAATGAGGGATTACAAGTTAGTGTGAGTTTCACTGCACGGGGGTATTCTTTCATTAGTGAAGAGCAACACAATGCTGTGGGTGAATTGTGTCCTCAAAGAATTTAAATGTTGAAACCTATCCCTGCATCCTAATGTGACTGAGACAGGACTTATAGAAGATAATTATGTTTGAATGAGGCATGAGTGTTGGTTGGTCCCTTGTCTCCCAGAATTGATGATGTTAAAGGAAGAGAAAGGCATTTCTTTTCTCTCTCTATTCATTATTCAAGGAGACATCAAGAAGGTTGCCATTGTTAAACCAGGAAGAGAGACCTCATCACTCCTGGGATCTGAATTGTCTGGCACCTTGATCTTGGACTTTCCAGCCTGCAGAATTTTGAGAAACAAAAATTTTTGTTTAAGTCTGTGGGATTTATTATGACAGTCCAAGCTCATTAACTTAGGCAAGGAGCTGCACCATTTTTTCATTAGAACTTTATCATCAGCTTGTGAATGTCTAAGAATGTGATGCTTCCATGAAGATTTTGTTACTTTAGTTTACTGACAATGTATTTATGATGGAAAATGTTATTGCCCTGAATATTGTAGTCTTTTTATTTGCTTATTCTTTTTTGCATCCTTCACTTCTTTCTCCATCTATGTACATAAGATGTTTTGTTGTTTAGTGTATTTCCAGATATTACAAAGCTACTGTGATAAAAACAGCATGGTACTGGCAAAGAAATAGACCTGAGGATTAGTGGAATAGATTAGAAGATGCAGAAACAACTTCAGACATACTCAGCTACCTTATCCTTGACAAAGGAGCCAACCATCCTTATTGGTGATAGCCTCTTTAATAAATGGTGTTGGAAAAACTGGATTTCAGCTTGCCAAAGATTAAAACTAGACCCCTATCTTTCACCATACACTAAATTAAAATCTAAGTAGATTGAAGATTTAAATATTAAAACAGAAGCACTAAACTTGCTGGAAGATATGTAGAACACTTGAAGGTATTGGCATAGGAAAAGACTTGATGAACACATCCCCAATAGCACAGAAAGTAGCACATAGAATCAACAATTGGGATCTCATCTTTTAAAAAAGCTTATGCCCTGCAAGAGAAATCACCAACAGAGCTAAGAGACAACCTACAACATGGGAAAAAATTTCTCCCAGCTGTTCGTCAGACAAAGTGTACTATCTAGAATATATAAAGAACTCAAAGGTCGGGCCCCCAAATATAAAGACCTGATTGAAAAATGAGCATCTGAAATGAACGGACATTTTTCAAAGAAGTAAAAGCAAATAAACATAGGAAAAAATATTCAACATCACTTGTCATTTGAGAGACGCAGATGAAAGCAATACTGAGATGCTACCTCACCCCAGAAAGAATGGCTGCTATCAAGAAGTCAACCAATAACTAATGCTGGTGGGATTGTGGGAAGAAAGGAACCCTTCCTCATTGTTGGTGGGAGTGCAGACTGGTGCAACCACTGTGGAAATCATTATGGAGATACCTCAGTTAGGATTAGAAGTCTCAGTTGACTCAGCTATTCCTCTGCTGGGTATCTTCTCCCTAAAATAAAAAAAACATACCACAATAATATATGCTTGATTTTGTTTATAGCGGCACAGTTTGTAATAGCTAAAACTTGGAAATAGCCCAGTTGACCATCAACTGGAGACTGGATAAAGATTTTTTTTAAAAAAAAATATAAAAGGGAGTATTAGTCATAAAGAATGAGAAACTAGTCATTTATAGCTAAGTAGATATGCATTGAGGCCATACTGTTTAGTGAAATTAATAAGATACGTGTAAATACTGAATAGTTTCTCTGGTATGAAAAACTAAAAATATAAATAAGGATCATAATGTATAATTGATACTGTGTAGTAGGAAGTCTAAAAGAGTAGGGAAAGTGGGAGGGGTAGAGGAAAGATAAGGCAAAAGAAAAACAGAAAGGAAAAACATGGAAACTATCTTTATAAACAGGGAATGGTGGAGGGGGTGAAGGGAGGGCAGGGGAATGGGGAAAAAAATAACCAAGATATGTCATTTAAAGGTATAAGATCACAGTGAATACAACTAACAATTGTATACCTAAAATTTACCAATAAATTTAAAGAACAAAGATACTTCATGTACAAGTATACATTATCTAAAATTAGCAATAAAGGTTTTGCTTCAAAAAAGGAAAAAAGTAAGTTGGGCACAGTGCTTCACACCTGTAATCCCAGGACTCGGTCTGAGCCCAGCCTGGGCAATTTAGTAACTGTGAGATATTTGTTATTTTAGGTGTTTTTGTTTTTGTTTTTTTGTTTTTGTTTTTTATTCTTTTGGTATCAGGGATTGAACTTAGGACCTTGCACTTGTGAGGCAGGCACAGTGGTACTAAGCTAAATCCCTGGCCCTGGTGTTTTTGTTATATGAATGTTCTCATATATATGAGGAGCCATGTATATATAGCTATTTTTATAGCTTGTTAACTTATTGAATTCTTATTTGGAGTAGTTCTGAGATTCTCTTGTGTTCTATAGGTATAATTATATGCAAGTCATAATCTTTCTCATTTTTTTTTCTTTTCATTTGGATTGATTAGTACCTCTGTCCACTGCATTTCTTATACTTCCCTGTTTTCTCTTTAACTGCTACGCTGTGTTTGGGCTAAGAGAGGGACATTTTATCCCATTAAGAAAGGATGCCCTGAATTCTCTTGTATTGGAGGCCTTTATTACAAATGGGTAATGTTATAAAAGAACACTTCATGTTTGTGTACATAATTACAGTATTTTTTCATAGCTTTGTGCATACAACGAAGTGCATTAATTTCTTAATATTGAACTTTTCTTTATTACTAGAATTAATATTTTAAAAGTCTTCATGTTTTATCTGTTTGTGTATATCAAACTCTGAATATTATTTTATTACATTCTGTACTTGTTTCTATTCTTTCAATCTCTCAGGTCCTCTTTGAGCCATTTATCTCATTGGGATGATTCTAGCAACCATGGAGGTTCTGCTGCTTCTGAATCTTCATTTTAAATCTCCCTGCTGAACTCTAGATCATATATTCTAGTGCCTATTGGGTTTCCCTGCATACTTGATTACAGACATTTCAAACATGGTTTAAGATCAATCTAATGTCTTCCCATTGTATTCATTGTCCTTTCTGCCAATTTTAGTTTGTAGGACAAGTTTCTACATAGCTGGCCATGCAAACAGTTTGGAAGTAGATTCTCATTTTCAACCTATGCACAGAACCAGTTAGTATTAAATTGTAGTTCTGCTTTTTCTTTTTTTAGGATAAGCCTCCTGTTCTGTATTCTTAATGCTGTATCTCCTCATATAAGCAGTAATGTGTACTGCTGTTTTTGTCCTCCTTTAAAAGACTCTGTTTTAAGTCCTTCACCATTCTCTTATGGAATGACTTGCAGAATGCATATCTGTTCAAGTAACTTACCACTTATTGGCCCCTCATTATTTATTTTTTGTCTTAGGAAGTAGGTGATGTTCACTTTTAGTAGGCATTTTTTCCCCCCCATACCGGGGATTTAATGTAGAACCTTGTGCTTGTGAGGCAGACACAGGGCCCCTGGGCTAGATACCTGGCCCTGGTGGTCACTTCTATACAAATACTAGTGATTGTTTAGATTTTTGAAAGGAAAAAGAAGTATTGCCATGACTGTGATAGGTAAAGATATGAGCTGTAATTTTAGTGATGCACAACCTGGTAACACAAAGCGGTTTTTTTCTGCCTCATTAGTGCATTTTTCTACATTAAACAGTTACTGTAGGCTATCAAACTCATTATTGCCAGTGTGTGTTTATACTTAAATCTTTACACTGGATTGTTACCTCTTTTTTGGAGCAGAATGTGATTTATCCCATTCTTGCTAGGAACAAAGACAGTTCTAAATCTAAAAAGGAGAGCTAGGTGTGATGGCATACTCCTGTAATTCCAGCACTCAAGAGGCTGAGGCAGGAGAGTTGGTATGAGTTTGGGGCCAGCCAGGGGTACAGGTACATAGTCAGCTCAACTCAGCTTGAACTACGTAGAGTGACCTTGTTTCAAAACAAAAATGTATAAATGAAATTCTATAGTTTTTTTGTTGTTGTTTGGTTGGTTTTGGGGCGGTGGTTGGGTTCTGGGGATTCAACCCAGGGCCATTGCACTGAGCTCTATCTGCAGCCCCTTTTCAAAATTTTTTATTTCTAGAGTGAGTCTTGCTAAGTCACCAAGTTGACCAGGCTAGGCTCCAACTTGGAATCTTCCTGCCTGAGCTTCTCTGGGATTATTTTTGACTACTAAATTAGCATAGAGGCAAGATATTTCTGATTTTTTTTCTCCTACAATGTAAAATACAAATCAAGCTGCATCTTACAAAATATACATGTAAGACAGTTTCACATAGAAGAGGGAAAATCTACATTCCTGTTCTTCTGGCCTAGTGCTGAAGATTTGGGTTGATGAAAAACGTTCATTTACAGGGGCTGGTGTCATTTGAGGATGTGTCTGTGGACTTCACATGGGAGGAGTGGAAGTACCTCAGTGATGGCCAGAAGAACCTCTACAGAGAAGTGATGCTGGAGACCTACGATAATCTTCTGGCCTTGGGTGAGTGAAACTCCCTACCCCAATAACTCTGGTAGGAGTTATTTTCTTTTTGGTTAGCGAATGTAGGAAACGTGTGAGTTTTAGTGCTACTTTTATGTATTTTTAGCCATCATGTACCATTTGCACATTTATAGGGTAGAGTATGTGTTTCAGTACATCAATGCAACCTAAATTGATTAAATTAGGGTAATTGACAAGTGTTTTACCTCACATGAACTTTTTTCATGAATTCATGTTTCAGTACAGTGTGTGTGAATTCAAGCAGGCAAAAAACCCACTCGTGAAAACACTGAAGTTTTATTACCTTTATGAGGTACTATGAACCCAGTGATTATTTTAAGTTATTTTGTTTCATTGCTGTCCCTTTTTTCTCTTTTTGTCCTTTTTCCATGAATACCTCTGTTTAATCATTTTTCTTCTGCCCTATTTTTTCCTTTTGAAAACATTGTTTCTAACAAGAACTTCATTGACTGCAGATTGAACAAAGTACAGGTATGCTGGAAGGGACCAGTCAGAAAATCTCCCCCTTCCCCTGTTTGACATTTATCTGCATAAGGGAAACAGCCCTATTCTAGGACATGGCATTGATCAAAATAGTAGATATACCAAGAGTAGTTAAAGACTGCTTTTTAAGAAATTACCAACTATTTTAACTTTGGCACTCTTGGCTAAGTATTAAGGTGTTTCGTGTAAAGTCTGGAATGTGTAGATCCCTAGATTTTGTTTTATATATAAAGAATTATATTTATAATTAAAAATTATGTTTTCACTTAGAGGTACTATAATTCCTATAACTAAATGATGTGCTATCTTGTATTTACTTTAGTAGAATATTTTTTTAAAGTGCATGTTAATAGTAAAAAATAAAGAGGTTTATTTTGGGAAGTCTTAATTTCATCTCATTTTTACCCTTTGCCTTTCCCTCCTCGAGCTTGTCCTCGTCCTTACCTCTGGAAGTCTGCCTCCTGTCTTCTCTCCGTAATTATTGATTTATTACTTTATGTATGTTTTAGATGTCTCATATAGGAGAAAACAAGTGATATTTATCTAGTCCCATCCATTTTCTTGCAAATAGCATGATATCATTCTTTATAATATTCTGAATAATATTTCATTGTGTGTCTATAAAATGTTTTCTTTATCCATTCAACTGTTGATAGGCATTGAGGCTGTTTCCACAGCTTAGTTGTTATGAATTATAGTGATAAATGTGGATATGGTTGTACTAACTGAATATGTAGTCCTTAATTTTCAAGAATATGCCCAGGAATGGTTTAGCTGGTTCTGGGTCAACTGTTTTTTGATGTTGAGTCATTTGAGGACTTTCCATAATGATTGTTATAGAGGCTGTACTAGTTTATATTCCCACCAACAATGTGAAAGGTTTTTCTTTTTTTTTTTTTTTTAGTTTCAGTTTGATTAATTTGCAAGCTTATGTTTATTATTTTCTTCTTTCTCTTGGTTTTTTGCTCTTGTTTTTCTAGGACTTTTAGGGTTTATTTGGCCTTGTTCTGTTTTTCTAATTTAGGCAATCATAACTATAAACTTTCCTCTTAGAATTAGTTTTCATTGTGTATCACAGAGTCTGGTATACAGTGCCTCAAACACAGTGGTACATTGGTACACAACTGATTCTGAGAGGCACAATGAGGACAAAAATTGATGAGTATCAAATTGTTTTGCCTGGAATGCCTAGTGAGTCAGGAAGCATTTGACACTGATAGGTTCTAGCTTGTGTAAGTAACCACAGTTGAGTATCAGGACAAAATTTTTGCACCAAAGTACATTGAGTACCAAATTGGATGGGTTTCAAAGAATTCAAGTACCATGGTATGACTGTATCATTTGATTCTAGGAAATTTAAATTTGTCCCTTGATGTCTTCAATAGCCTATTGATTAATAATATATTATTCAGTTTTCTGTGCTTTGTGTAGTTTCTGTGGTTTGTTTTGACGATTTCTAGTTTCATTCCATTTTGATGTGATAGGTTGAAGAGATTACTTTTGGTATACATAAAAATGCTTTATCACTTAGAATGTGGTTTCTTTTGGAGAAAGTCCATGTAAGAGTATATTCTGATGATGTTGAATGAAACATTCTGTAGACTTAAAATTGAATGTTTTATTTGATTTACTGAAGTTTTCATTTCTAGGATTTCCGCTTGGTTCTTTTCCACATTTTCTGTTGCTTTACTGATACCATCTTTCACGTCTTGCATTATCTTCTCTCATTCAATCAGCTGATTATTTGTGATTTATTTGAACTCATTCATTATTCTGATAATACATTTACCTATTTGTCTTTTCTTTGATCTCTGATTTTTACTATCAGTTTTTTAAATTCTTTGTGTCTAATTTGATCCACTTCATTATCTGTGGGATCATCTTTTTTGGGATTGATTGAGACAGGGTCTCACTATGTAGTCCAAGTTGGGCTCAAATATATGGTGATCCTCTTGCCTCAGCCTACCAAGTACTGGGCTTATAGGTGTGTGCCACCATGCCTGGCTAGAATTTATGTACTATATTTTTGGAGGTGTATTGTTGCCTTGTTTTCTCATTTTAATTGTGCTTCTTTATTAAGATTCATAGAACAGTTGGATAGACTGTCTCTCTACTCTTGTGTGGGGTTCTTTTTTGTAAATGCTTTTTTTCTCTTTGTTGTGTATTTGCATTGTGCATCTGTTGTGTTTGTACCCAGTCTTTTCTGTGTGCTAGGTCCAGCCCCTAGAACTGCTTTGACAGTAGAGTAACTACCAGCAACATCAACATTTGAGAAGCTAACCATAGATTATTTAATACTTAAGAACTTGACAAAAAGTCTACAGTATTACAGTAACCCAGGATGAGATACAGTGTACTAATACATTATAGCAGGTAGATCAAATTAACTAGTGATTATAGTATTTTAAATAGTATATAGGTAAAGGAGAAGATAAATATGAGGGAGGAGCAAAAAGTAGAGAATAAAAATTATTACCCCCCCTTAAAAAAAAAGAAAGGAGACTAGACAGAACTTGGTATGTGGAGGGTAGGAAAGAGTAGAGAAAGGAAGGGAATATAAATGAGCTGTGAGACAAAGAGAAAGTGATTTGTATCAAATTTATTATCAGTAAAAACATTTATATATTCTAGTGAACTGTGCGTGGGGTAATATGACAAAACAGGGTGTGGGGTATTATGAAGGTAAAGCCGAAAACCAGTACAGCATACACATATACCTATATAAAGACTATCCATTTTCACACAAACTACTCATAGAGTAAAAAGGCAAAACATAAGAGAGGGAGAGAATAAAAGAGCATTTGTCCTGTTTTGTAGATTGGGATGAGCATCTCTCTGCCATTTTTTTCTGTTGCTGTTTTTAGTCTGCTATGATCAGGGCCCTCTAGTATTCTCAGGGTCAGTGGTAGGGAATTTCCCCTGCTCCTCAAAGTGAGTCTCAGACACAGTTCTCAGCCAACCAAAACCTTGGAGGATTTCCACCCCATCTTTGTCTCTCTGTCTCTTTGATTTCACTGGTGTCCAGAGTTAAGGAGAAGATTTTTTTCAGCTAGATTGTTTCTGTCCACCTCCATTGGTTTTGGGTCCCAGCTGCCTCTGATCTCTCAGTTCTTTGTCAGTTGTTTCTCTCTAGGCCCAGTGCCAATGAAGCAGAAGCCCAAGCCAAAATGGGGGTCATTGTTCAGTGTTTCTAGTCTTGACTCATTCCCCTGAGGATGGCATAGTGGTTGGACCTGCTTTGGAAACAGAGCCAGTCAGGTGGGACTATTCTTATCACAGATTCTGGGCTGTTTGGTAGTGGAGCGACTACATAGTTGAGTGGCCAGCTGTGACCAACCTCTTGGCCTCTTCCTTAGAGTGATATTGTGTGTTTTAGAGTTGCTTGATTTCTGGCCATGTTCTGGTAGGAACAACAGAAGTTAAGAGTAGGAAAAATTTATTGAGAGAAAGAAAGTTACTGTCTAAGATAGAAGGTAGACCAGAAAGTGGGTTGTCTCTTCACCCTAATTTTCAAAGATGTTTTATTCAGCAAAGTCATATGGTGAGGTGGGTACAAAGTGGGACACAACTATAAGACCCAGTGGAAAATTACAAGGTGGGCATGAGGTGGGCAAGACCATGACCAACCAATAAGATTACAAGTAAAGTCACCCAGGTGACATTGACTAAGTGGGAGTCAAATGGGGGAGCAAGTCACATAGCAAGCCTATACAAGGATTCTCATTAAGGGTGGGAGTCAGGGATGTTTCCTGGAAAGGCTGGGTTAAGACCTTGGCCCCCCCACTCAGATGTTTGAAACCTATTTAAAATATCAATTGCTGCTATTTTTCCTTGGTGGGGGGTGGGCACAAAGGCATAGTAGTTTCTCCCCTTCTACAACTCCTTGAATGTGTCTTGATTGTCCTCCGTGTTGGCTCCTTGCTGTGTTGGCTGGCTCCTTGAGGGCGGCCCTGTCTTAACTGCCCACAAGACATCCAGTTAACCCACCTGTCTACAATACAACTTCTTGATAATGCCACAACACTCCCTGGTCACATTTTCTTGAGCTGGAGATGTCTTTCTGATGAGGTTCTAACATAGTTTGGCACAAATCTCACATTAATTCACTATTAAACAGGATACTGCAGTACCAAACCTGCTGTGATCTTCAAGTTGGAGCAAGGATCTGGGCCATGCATGGTAGAAGACGCTCCAAGCCAGAGCTTCCCAGGTCAGTCGATGTATACTGGGGCAGGGAGATGAGGATGATGAGTGCTCATCAGATATTAGCCATGAAGAACTGTTTTCATTATTTTTCCTCATGTAAACAGCTGGTCTCATTCTTTGTAGATTTGTTTTCCATAGCTTAGAAAGAGATCTCTCACATATGAATCCATGTTCTTTTTTTGTTGTTCATGTATATTGTGTTAGATTTACCAGAAAGTTCTTATATGGATATTACACATTTTTCTTAGTAAGACCCTTTCTCTAAATTCTTCCACATTCATATCCTGATTTTTTCCCCCTCAGCTATTTGCTTTTTGATTACCTCATAGACATTGGTATTTTTTAACTGTTAGGATTAATAAAATGCATTATAATGTGTTTTATTGAAAGATAATATTAAACCAAATATATAGTGTTTGGTAGTTACATGAAAGCCACAAAGAATGTTGTATGATGATGAGGTAAAAATATAATAAGGCGTTTTATTTTAGGAATGATGTCTAATGTGTAGACTGCTTTAAAAAATATTGTAATAAAAATTATTAGAAAATGATCTATTGTTACTTAAATATATTAACTATATTACCTATTTTATGTGTGGTCCAGGACAATTTCCTTTTGCTTCAAAGTGGTATGGGGTATGGGGAGGAAGTGAGCCACAGCTGTGTTGGACAAATCTGGAAAGCAAAAGCAGTTTTTAAGATGGTTATTCATTTTAATTTTTAGATGTCCACTTTCTAAAAATGGCATATACAAAGGTAGATTTAAAAATCTAGAGTCATAAATGATCATGAGTATAAAATTGGGAAGTCAGTATTGCTTGTATTTAGATCTTAGTTAGGTAAGAAAACGAGAAGGGAATTCCAGTATTGCCAGGCATGGTGATGCATGCCTATAAACCCAGCACTCAGGAGGCTAAGGCAGGAGGATTGCTGAGAGTTCCAGGCCAGCCTGGGCTACACAGTGAGCTCAAGGCAAGCTTTTACTACAAAGTATCCTGTCTCCCCTGAAAAAGGAATTCCAGTATCAAGCCCTGTATATGACAACATCAGAATTTATGAAAGTGTGAAGTACCTACCATATGTGCAGGGAAAGTATGGGATCCTGGACTTTGTAGGACTACCAGAAGATCTTTGATAAAAAGGACATGTGAACTAATGATTTCACGTTGTAGGGCTCTAGTTTCTGTTCAGGAATGAAATTTGTAGTTAGCTTTTACACTTTTCTTTATGGAAGACACTGAGACATAATAAATGGTATAAAAACTCTATTTGCTATTCAGGTAGAAGAAAATTGAATTTTAAACACAAAAGCCATCTGAATCAGGGAGTTCCCAAGCAGGCATACATGTGCCAGATCCTCAGGTTGTATGTCCAAGAAATATTCAGAAAAATACATTGCAACAATGGTAAGCACAGTTTAACTGCAAAACCAAAGTATTAAGTCTGAACCTTTTATGGTTTTGAGAATCATAAGTTTAATTAGATTAGGGATTTGGAGCAAGTTTGTCTTCTAGTGTAAGAGAAAAGATAGTTTACACTTACTCATGGAACAATGAAAACCAAACATAGATATAGATATAAATCCTTTTCTTAAATAATATTTCTACTAAGGTTAAGGAAACCCAGGTCAAGGAAAGTCAATCAGACTAAATCCTACACCAAGAAAATTTTGGATTACAAATCTGAAAAAGAAGCAAAGTAGAATGATGCTATACAAATAGCTGTTTTAAGAAAAAAGTATGGAAAAAGTACTGCGAAAAGTTGAAGATAAAAACCATTGTGGAAACCCACAATTAGGCATTAGGTGAATATTGTAATTTTACATCTCCCCATATTTCAAAGGAATAAAAGCAATATGACATGATTTAACTTTGTAGTCTTTTAATATAGTTTTTTGGATTCATTAGGTCTGAAACCCACACACATCATAAGTCGAGTTATTTTGAAATTTTAGATTATAAGGATATGGCAGTTCTTTACCTTTGTTTGAATTCCATAAGAAATACTTATGTTTGTTTCATGGAGATTACTATTTTTATATCATTTTAGATGTCCAGAAAGTAAATGGTCTTATTCAGACAAACCAGGAAAATCAAGAGAAATGTTTTTGGCAAGTTGTAGCCACATCAGCTGAGGAGAAGGTTGAATTGGAAAAACCATTTAATGTGAATTCAAATCATGTTTCAGTTCTGAATATAAAGAATGGAAACTATTCAGGAGTGAAGCCTGAGGAACTTAACATATGGCAGAATGTGCTTCTCCCTGGTGATCCACATGAGGTGCAGATTGGAGATGAGCCTGTTGATCTTAATGTAACTGGAAAATCCTTCAGACATCCTGAACACCTTGGTCTGCATAAAAAAGTTCAAGATATGCAAAAGCAGTTTCAGTATTTTGGACATGAGAACGTCTACAGCAAGAAAGGGGTATTGACACATAAAAAGATTCATGTGGGAGAGACTTCCAGTAAGTTCAGGGAATATGAGAAAGACTTTGATAGGTTAGCATTTATTTCCCAAGAGATGACCCAAACAAGGGAGAAATCAATTGAATATGCCTGTCCTAAAGTGTTACTTAAAAAGGCTAAACTCATTAACCATGAGAAAAAACGAAAAGGACAGAAATATTCTGAACATGGTTGTTTAGGAGAACCTTTCATTAGCAAATTATATGTTACAAAACATCAGAGAACACATGCAGGGGAAGAGCCCAATAGATGTAATGAATGTGATAAATTCTTCGGTGGAGAGACAGAACTAAATATGCATCAGAGAATCCACAGAGAAGCAAAACCCTATGACAATTATGAACGTGGAAAAAACTTTAACCAGAAGCAAAACCTCAGCAGATGTGGGAAAATTCACACAGATGAGAAGCCGCATGAATGTAACATGTGTGAAAAAGCCTTTTACCGGAAGTCACAACTCAATACACATCAGAGAATTCACACTGGTGAGAAACCCCATGAATGTAAAGAATGTAGGAAAACCTTCTACCATAAATCATCCCTCATTATACATCAGAGAACTCACACAGGTGAGAGGCCTTATGACTGTACAAAATGTGGAAAAGCTTTCTACTGTAAGTCACACCTTATGTTACATCAGAGAACGCACACAGGTGAGAAACCATTTAAATGTGAAGAATGTAGGAAAACTTTCAACTGTAAGCCACACCTTATAGTACATCAGAGAACTCACACAGGTGAGAAACCATATGAGTGTGAAGAATGTAGGAAAACTTTCTACTCTAAGTCACACCTCAGGAAACATCAGGGCATTCACACAGGTGGGAAATCATATGCATGTGAAGAATGCAGGAAAACTTTCTGTCGTAAGTCTGACCTCACTGAACATAAGAGAACTCATACAGGTGAGAAACCCTATGAATGTACCGTATGTGGAAAATCCTTTCACCGGAAATCAAACCTTAGTACACACCAGAGAACACACAGAGATGATAAACCATATAAATGTAAAGAGTGTGACAAAACATTCAATCGTAAAGCAGCCCTCACTGTACATCAGGGAATTCACACAGGAAACAAACCATATGCTTGTGAAGAATGTAAGAAAACTTTCCTCCATAAGTCATCTCTCATTGTGCATCATAGAAGTCACACAGGTGACAAACCTTATGCATGTGAAGAATGTAGGAAGGCCTTCTACTGTAAGTCACATCTCACTGTGCACCAGAGAACTCATACAGGTGAGAAGCCCTATGAGTGTCAAGAATGTAAGAAATCCTTTCACAAGAAGTCACACCTCAGCAGGCATCAGTTAACACATGAAACTGAGAAAGAAACTGAGAAACAATTTGAATGTAAACAGTGTGGGAAATCTTTCTACCATAAGGCATCCCTCATTATACATCAGAGAATTCACACAGGTGAGAAACCATATGAGTGTGAAGAATGTAGGAAAACTTTCTATTCTAAGTCACACCTCAGGAGACATCAGGGCATTCACACAGGTGGGAAATCATATGCATGTGAAGAATGCAGGAAAACTTTCTGTCGTAAGTCTGACCTCACTGAACATAAGAGAACTCATACAGGTGAGAAACCCTATGAATGTACCGTATGTGGAAAATCTTTTAACCGGAAATCAAACCTTAGTACACACCAGAGAACACACAGAGGTGATAAACCATACGAATGTAAAGAGTGTAACAAAACATTCAAACATAAGGCAGCCCTCACTGTACATCAGGGAACTCACACAGGAAACAAACCCTATGCATGCATGTGAAGAATGTAAGGAAACTTTGCTCCATGAGTCATCTCTCATTGTGCATCATAGAAGTCACACAGGTGACAAACCTTATGCATGTGAAGAGTGTAGGAAGGCTTTCTGCTGTAAGTCACATCTCACTATGCACCAGAGAACTCATACAGGTGAGAAGCTCCATGAGTGTCAAGAATGTAAGAAATCCTTTTACAAGAAGTCACACCTCAGCAGGCATCAGTTAACACATGAAACTGAGAAACAATTTGAATGTATACTGTGGGAAAACTTTCTACCATAAGGCATCCCTCATTATACATCAGGGGAACAATACAAATGTCAGCAATGTGAAAAGTCCTTTTACAAAATGTCAAACCTCACCATATAGGAACTGTACAGTAGACTATGGATACTTCAAGCCTAGCTCCCACCCACCCAAATCTGGCAACATCGAAATTCTAAGTTATTTCCCTGAGTTCTTAGGCACTTTAGACCTGAAGCAAACCTGCCTGTTCAGGCTGTTCTTGGGAGCCATAGGTAACTGCATTTAAGACAAGGATAACTGATCTAAAAGAGAGTGCTCTTTCCACCTTTATTCCCAAGTAGTCCATGTTTAGTTTACATGAGTGAGAGATACTCTTTTGAATCATGTGTTTGTTTGCATTACAATGCAAACCTATAACTAATTCATTTTGTAAGCTTTTTGAGAAATGATACCTGTCTTGATATTGCAGAATTCATACATGAGAAACCTCTCCTGGCACCTGTTATTTTCTTGTCAATTTACAGGAAAAACATGTTGAGAAGTTGTTGCAAATTGAAAATGGTTTTGTAGGCAGGAAAATTCACTGAACACTTTGAATAAGGCAGATATTCATACATTTGTTTCATGTGTAAAAGTTTCCGACAATCCTTCCAAATGTTATTTATCAGGAAGTAGTCATGAAGGAAAACTGTCAGCTTACATAACAAATGTTTTTCAAATGGAAGTGTTAAATATAATATTACAAATCATTTCCAAATATTTCACTATGCTGATGTATATAAATATGAATGGTAGTATTTGCTTTTAAGAATACACAGACATTTATGATTGTTGAAATTGGATTTTGGGCATTGCTGTTGGTATCTAGTGGAGGCCAGACATGCTGTTTACCAGCCTACTGTTCACAAAGTGTCCCATAATACATACATACACACACACACATTTTAGTATTGGGACTCAGAACTACTGCACAGCATATGTATTGTTTTTGTAATATAATGACTGGGGTTGGGAATATATTTCTTTGGTGGGGTATATGCTTGTTCTGCATGAGGGCCTGTTTTCAATTATTAGCATAACGAAGTCAGATATTTTGACTTATGTTAAAACGTCCTGCATTTAGTGCCACTGTAGGCCATTTATATTTTTTATATTATCTCAGATATTATACTATGATTTCTTTCCTTTTCTCCTATTTATAAGTGTGTATGGACATTTTAAATATCTTGTAACAGATTTTTTCCCCTAATGTGTAAAACTAACAAACATTTATGTGGAACTATACAAATCAAGCATGTAATTGTTCTTAACTGAAATCTAAGTTAATTTAATCAACAGTGAACATCTCAGTGAAAGCAATCTCTGGAAGAATACCCTTTCTTCTGCATACCTTTCAATAAGGTAGCAGCAGAGGTGTGAGTATGTGGACTAAATGCTGTCTAATTCATGAGTATATACATTTCTCTTTCCTGTGATAGAGTGCTGTGACTATACCTTGCCAGTGAATTGGCAGCATACAATGACTAGATGCAGACCTCACTGGGCTTTTCTTCCTTTGTAAAGGAAAAAGAATAATGGAACCTGTCACAGAGGGTTATTATTAAGTAGTAAATTAAACAAAGTATTTTGGATATTACCTGGTATGTGGTAAACTGCTGTGATAGTGGCCATTATCACAATTTACAGATTTACTCTGAAAAATTGGTGACTGCAACAGAATATTGTTTGGCAGCCATCTCACTTTTTGCGTGTATCCATTTGGTTTTGTCTCCTGATTTTACAGTTATTGTGTTTTATCATGTTTGAGGTTTTAAATAATTACTTGGTACCAGTCTTTCCTCTGGTAGTTGTTTTGGGCTGAGCTCATGGGCCAGTTCTATATGTTGACACACTTAAGGATTTTATGGCATGTCCGGGAATATTCCCACAAAGAAAGAGACATGAAAGATTTGGGACTTGTTTTGCAAGATACTGGTCTTTGTGCACGTATTTTCTGATTGCATATTTTGGCTTTCATGCGGTAACATACTGGTCAGGCAGAAAGCTGTAGAACTGGAGTGAATGATAATATATGTGAATTACTACTGAAATGTCCCAACTTGGGAGCTTTCATTTTCAGGGTCATTATAGAGAGTATCAGACTCCTATTTGTGCATGAGCAAAGACCACCAACTCAACTAAAAGATAACATTCATTCATTATCCCAGTTTCTGTGAGTCTGGAGTCTTCTCTGCCTTTTCTGCTGCTTCCCACTAGAGACAGCTCCCACTGGTCATGGTGTGTTCCCATGGCCATCTCAGAATTGCTAATTGCAAAGTGAAAATTTCAACTATCAGTATGTACATTGATTTGTAAGGAAAAAACTTCATTTTGAACATTTTATAGAAAATAATGACATCTGTATTTTAGGGTTGATCATAAATTATTTTTTAGAGAGCAAAATATGTACTGTCTTTTTTGTTGTTGCTGAAACAAATATTCAACAAATTAAAGGAGGAAAGTTTTATTTCAGTTAACAGTTTGTAGTGGTTTCAGTCCAGTTGGCTGGCTGCAGCACAGGGCAGCATGGCAGAGGGCCGTTGCAGAGGAGGAACAGTCCATGGCAGAACTGTAGTAGGCAGTAAGCAGCCTGCCTTCTTTCCCTTTTTATTCTAAACTACAAGCCTGTTGATTGGCACCATCCACATCCATGGTGGGGCTTCCATTATCCACACTAAGAACTATGCTAAATCAGTTTAACAAATTCAACCACCCCCGAAAAGCCCCACCAATGAGTGCATGGGGCTTTATGGGGACATCTAGATTCAAGCCAATATACTGATAGGAGAGTCCATCTCAGGGTCTTACAGGAGTTTTAAATACCTTGCAACTCAGCTTTAGTCTACAGTTACAATTAGGTAATTTGAAGGAGTAGACATGTTTCTGATCAATGTGGGAGATACCTTTGTTCATTAGTTTTAGACCAATAAATGGTGTCCAGAAAATGGAAATAATAAAATAAGTGAAACCAGATCAGCATAACAAACAGCACAGAATCATCAGATAACTTAGCATTAAAGCAGAATGCCCGAAATGTGGACTTCCTTCCACACCTGGGAAGAATGGGGGCAGGAGTGAGGGAAGGGCAATGAATATGTTCAGGAGAAACAATGTCTAATATTCCACAGCACAGGCCAAAGTGGTTGGCTGTTGTAATTGTGTATTTGAAAATATTTAGGTGTGAGAGGGTTTTGCATGTTTCCAATACAAAGAAGTAATAAATGTTTTGAGATCATGGATATTTCACTTTGCTCTGATGAGTACATATACACATACTGAAATAGCACGTTGTACCCCTGTAAATATGTATAATTACATATCAGTAAAGTAGATACTGTGTATAAATATGAACAACATATAAACAAAATACATAATAACATGAATTGTAAGTACAATTCTTTCATGGTAATAAAAATAATGTAGGTTTCCTAGGAACATGTAAAGTTTAGGAAATAGTTGGAAATAGGAAGGACAGTGAGAAAGTGTAGCTTTCCCAAAACAATAATTGGAGCTAGTGGTTATCTGCAATATTTTAAAGCAGGTTTGTAGTAACACCAGACAATATATATACATCAGTGGAAATGAATAGGCTATAGAGAAATAAGCTGGGTGTATATGAAAATGATTCTTACAACACTTGTTATTGATAAGCAGTACAGAAATAGTTATGTAATTTTAAAAGCCATTGTGAAAATGTAAGTCATATATACTTGATGCAAAATAAATTCCACATGCTATAAGTAGTTTCTGAAGGAAAGTAACTAGAATCAACACATATCCATTTCCAAAATTTTACTTTAATGGTGCATATCAAAAGGAAACAGTGTACATATATTAGGGTTTAGATTGAAATGTTCCCCAGTAATTTCATCTGTTCAGAGGTAGAACTTTGGATCATGATGGCCCTCACCTCTATGCATGGATGATGAGTTTATTGTTGAATAGGACACACTTTTAGATTTTTATTTAATGTTGATGCACCTTTCCACCTTAAGCACACTTGTACAAAAAAAAAAAAAATTTAAAAGAGGCAATGACCTGTGAAACATTTTTAATGCTTGGCAAATAAGTATTTCCTATACTAAAGTAGAGGAAAAATTTAAAAGACAAGTCCTAAAAAAATGTTTTTGAAATATGAAAGGTCCCTTTAATGCAAGAAATAGCAATATAAGCTGGACATGTTGACACACACCTGTAATTCCAGCACTCTAGAAGGTGGAGGCAGGAGGGTCATATTCAAACAAGACCTGGACAACTTAAGTGACTTTACAAGATCCTGTCTCAAAAATAAAAGGGCCGGGCATGTTGCTTAATGGAAAGCAACTGGATCCGATCCCCAGTACTACTAGAAAGAACAGAGACAAAATAGAAAAACCATGTAATCAAAGAGATACCATTTGCATTCAGCCCAATTTTTAATAAATATGAAGAAAATTGTCATGTACAAATAGAACATGTCTGTGAAAATGTACATAATATTGTATACAGCTAGTGAACATGACTTTAAAAGTCTTAAGTAACCTTGAGCTCTGCCATTTTCTGTGAATTCACATTTTTTTCTCTAGAGGAGGAAGCTGAGGTTACAGAGGAATGCCTTTCCAAGAGCTATGCAAGAAAAGCCAGCTGTTCCTGCCAGCTAGAAGTAAAATCTCAACTGCTTTCACCCTAAACCCCAACACCACTACTGACCACTGTCCCATCCTCTGAGCTCTTGATGAATGTCTAGATACCCTGCCAAGCCCATCAGGATAGAGCTGTGTGTGTGTCAGTATGTTTGAGAAACTCCTGCCTGTCCTACCCCCCCTCCAGAACTTCAGTCCCACAGCTAGGTTGGAGGCCGTGCCCAACACTTTACCCCGTCCTACGAACACCCCAAGGGAGTTATTTTGACAAAAGTCTTTGCTTAGCCATTTAGAATGTGGTTTTTACCAAGATGTCAACTGAATGACAAGGCAAGGAATTCCCTGGGTAATGGAATCTGAGATCTAATCAGTTTGGATCCACTAATAAATACATGA